TCGCATAGGAGAAGAAATAGTTCTCCACAGTTCTCATATGTCAAAGGAGGTGAACTTCATACTCAAAATGATGCCACAAGTATGGGCTCTAAGAAATCCAAACCTAAAGTGATCACAATGGAACTCCAATAAGAGGGAGGAGGGAGCCAGGGTGCTATGACCTACTCCTCTGCAAATGAGGGCAGCATATTTAGGGAAATGTGTCCATGAGTAAGAGGCATGTTATGGACGGAATTGTGTCCTCCCAAAATTCATGTGTTAAATTCTTAACTTCCAGTACCTCAGAATGTGACTGTACTTAAAAGTAGTGTCTTTAAAGAGGTGACTGAGTTAAAATGAGTTCATTAGGATGGGGCTTTAATCCAAATGACTGAGGAGCTTAAGCAGAGGAAATATATATATTGACACACACAAAAGGAAGATCATGTAAAGATACAGGGAGCAAACCACCATCTATAAGCCAAGGAGAGGTCTCTGGAGAACCAAATATTGTTGACTTCTAACCTCCAGAACTCTGAGGAAATAAATTTCCATTGTTCAAGCCACCCAGTCTGTGGTACTTGGTTATAGCAGCCCTGGAAAATTAATACAAGGCATTCTAGCCCTTCTGCTACATTGCTAGTCCAGATTATGAGGTATTAGCCTATCTGTCCTGGTTTATAACAAAAGCAGCCTAGTTACTGAGCAAAAAAGATTACCAATATCAGGGGAAAGGGATTTTAAAATAAAAGCCATTTGGGGCCCTAACTGGTTTGGCTCAGTGGATAGAGCGTTGGCCTGCAGACTGAAGGGTCCCAGGTTCTATTCCAGTCAAGGGCATGTACCTTGATTGTGGGCCCATCCACAGTGGGAGGAGTATAGGAGGCAGCTGATCAATGTTTCTCTCTCATTGTGTTTCTAACTCTCTATTCCTCTCCCTTCCTCTTCATAAAAAGTCAATAATATATATATATCCAAAATTTCCATATGAATTGGAGAGAGGGCGCTGCAGTGACAGGGGACAAAGCAGATGCAGGAGTTTGAATGGGTGGCATTCTATTTATCAGTACTGAGCAGGCCTTGGGAATATTCAGGTGAATAAGAGGGCATCTTACCTTCAAAGAGTGCCCCCCAAGTCTAGTGGGAGAGAGAGGTAAACAAATAATATTCAAAAGGAGAGTTGCATATTGAAGACACAGGTATGAAGAAGGTGCAATGGGAGCATGCGGAAGAGCATCCAGCCCCAGCCAGGAGAGGAGATCCTGTGGCTGGGGGCTTCCAGAAGGGGCTGGTGCAGAAGCTGAGTATAGGACAGAACAAAAGTTAGATAGACAAAGAAGTGGTGTGGGACCAGGAGGGTAGGGGAGAACCTGGGGATATGAAAAGAAGTTTATGGTGTTTCAGGAAGAGAAAATATCATGAGTGCAAGTGGTATGGAATAAAAGACATGTTAAATTTTTATGTGAGCCACCAATAAGTTGGTGCTGTGATATCTTAAAGAGTGAGACAGAGGTGCTGAGAGATGGTGCAGGAAAGGTGGGCAGGAAGCACAGGATTCTTTTGTAACAGTGTTTGAATGGGTTACTTGGCCATCAGACAGGAGTATGCATTTGAAAGGAGGAAAGACTGTAAGTGAGGGAGCCAGTGAGGCCGCTGTTGTCACAAACCACGAGAGAGGAGCTAATGGCTGAAAAATCTGGACCAGGAAAGTAGCAGAAGGACTAGAGACAGGAAAGACTCAAGAAATAGGTGGGAATTAAAATCATCAGAACTTACACATTGCTTGGAAGATGAGGTTGAGCTAGGAAGGATCATTGGCAGGTTTCTAGGGAGCAAGGAAGTGGAGATGAGGAGTAAGGACTCTTGATAGGTTTCCAAGAGAAAGGAAGAACATGGTGAGGGTGCAGGTGAGATACACAGAGGGAGACTCTTGTTTGCATCACTGTATGCGTGAGGCACTAAAAGATGCAAAGAGCATTCGCCACTTAGGAGCTCTGACTTTCAACATATTGGTCTTTGATGTGAATTTTTATAATAATCCCACTTTACCCATAGTTTCCCTTTTTGTGGTTTTTAGTTACCCACAGCTAACCATGGTCCAAAAATATATTAAGTGGAAAGTTCCAGAAATAAGCGACTCATACGTTTTAAATTGCACACCATTCTGAGTAGGGTAATGAAATCTCAAATTGTCCCTAGACAGTGAATCATCCCTTTGTATTGTCCAGCGTCTCCATGCTATACAGACTGTTTATTCATGAGTCACTCAGTAGCCAGCTGGGATTATCAGATTGCTACCACTATCAGCGCTGGTATTCAGTAAGTCTTATGGCCCCAAAGTGTAAGCGTAGTGATGCTGGCAGTTCAGCTATGCCAAAAGAAGGTGTGAAGTGCTTCTTTAAGTAAAAAAGTGTATGTGTAGGAAAAAACATCGTATATATAGGGGTTTGGTACTGCCTATGCTTTCAAGCATCCACTGGGGGCTTTGGGACATATGCCCACACGGATAAGGGGGAATGATTTCACTACATTTTGGCCTTAACCTGCTTTCCTGTCTCAGCTTGAACTTTTTGCTGCAGTCAAAATGTTCTACTCACTCCTATGCATACACTTTACTTATTTATGCCTCAGTTGTTCTTGCACCTTTGCCTCACCTTCTTCCCTGGCTCCAACCATTAGCTGTGGGAACGTGGGAAAGTTGCTTTGCCTTTCCAAACCTTAAACTTCCTCATACAGAAAGTGAGGATAATGGCCATACCTATTAGACAAGGCTGCATCCGGTAAAGCAATTCTCATTTGTAGTTTTTATAAAAGTTGGCATTGCCAAAATTGGTTTGGCTCAGTGGATAGAGCATCGGCCTGCGGAGTGAAAGGTCCCAGGTTCTATTCCAGTCGAGGGCATGTGCCTTGGTTGCAGGCACATCCCCAGTGGGGGGGTGCAGGAGGCAGTTGATCGATGATTCTCTCTCATCGATGTTTTTGACTCTCTATCCCTCTGTCTTCCTCTCTGTAAAAAAAATCAATAAAATATATTAAAAAAATAAAAATAAATTAAAAAATAAATAAAAGTTGCCATTGATTTGGGAATTTTAGAATATATATATATATATATATATATATATATATATATATGTTTATGTGATTTTAATTAGAAAGCACATATTATTTATTTCCACTTCTCATGATTCTAAGCTCCCCAAGGGCCAGGGCCTTCTCTATTCTTATCCATCATTGTGTCCCCAAACTTAAGCAAATATCTGGCATATCACTGGCATTTAACAAATATTTATCGAGTAAATAAATAGTTAAATGAAGCAATGAATGAATTCCTAAGACAGTTCTTAAAAGATAAGTAATAGATGGGGAATACAGTCAATAATATTGCAATAATGATATACTGTGTCAGATGGGTACTAGACGTATTGGGGTGATCGCTCCATAAGCTATATAAATGTCTAATTATTATGTTGTACACAGGACACTAATATACTATTGTATGTCCACTGTAAATGAAATAAGAATTTTTAATTAAAAAAAAGACAAGAGAGGGATAAGCACAGAAAACGGGGTAGAGAGTTCCAAACAGTAGGTTAATATACGTATATAGAAAGATGGGAGAGCAAATGTCTTTGAATGATTGCATATTTTCAGAAAGGTCATAGTGTCATAGGAGGGCTTAACCTCAGGAACCTTGATTATCTTGAAGATATGCAGGAGCCAGCAATGCATTTTAGGTAAGGAGCACCTGAATTGGCTCTATGCTCTGCAGAATGGTGAAGAATGTGTTAGAAGAGTATGAGGCTGGAGGCCTGGAGATCAGGTAGGCTCCTGAGAGCTGAAATAAGGTGGTGACATTTGGGAATATAGAGAAGAAATTGGAATTAAGAATTTATCACCCTCCTACAGATATTTGTTGACCGGTATCATTTGTTAAAAATATTACTTGGCAATTTGTGCTTAGTGAAAGACCTCGCTCCATCTTGTATATATATCTTGATATTAAGTAAACATTGTGTCTTTGTGCTCCCAAATATTAATAAAAAAAAAGGAATGAAGGTGACTCTAGAGTTTGAGTAGAGAATAAAAAAGGAAAGGTATTAATCAAAGGTATAAAAACCTGCACATTGACTGGGGATGCTGAGTCCCCCCCCTTAACTTTCAGACTAAGATGTGCTTTCATTTCATGGTAAATATAGTAAAGTGAAAGATATCTTCATTTTCTCTTCTTGAAGCTGAAATATTGCTCAGAGTTACTCTAATATTTCTAAAAAGTATATATAATCATAAAATTTCTAAACAATATAGCCCTTAACTAGTCATTCTAAAATTTTATTGTGTTACTAATAGAAATTAAGTAAGGTCAGATGGCAGATCACAAATGAAGCCAAAACTCATAGGTATAATTCTTCCAGACAGCAGAGAGGTAGTGCAGCTTTAAGTGCAAAGGTTAAGGATGTCCCACCCACCAACTGTCTGCACCTGAAATTCCTTTTCCAGGGCAAAGTATTCATTCTACAACTAATAGATTCATCATCAGAGTGATCACTCCATAAGTTACATTAATGCCTACTCATTAAGTTGTACACCTGAAACCAACATAGTATGTCAACTATAACTGAAAAATAATTTTAAAAAAATATTTTTAAAAAGCAAAATAAATTACCAAAAGGTTTAATGTGTAAAATTCCTTGGGCGAGATGAAATTTTTTTAAAAATTCACAAGGGGCAAATGGCTAAGGAAAAATAATCTCTGAAGATCAGGTTTTGATAGGGAAATAGAGCAAGGAGGACTAACTAATGATTGCATTTGAAATGAGGGATACAGTATGGTGCCTGATACTGTGAATGACCATCACTGGGTTTGGGGGTTTTCTGATCACATGCTATAGTGATACATGGGCCAAAAGAAGCCCTTCGCATTTTAATTTTCAATAGGGAAAAAATAAACTTTCTTAACAATATCACTCAGATTGTGACTTCTACACATATAATCTGTCTCATTTTCTGTATTTAAGTGGGATTGTGGTTATCATTCTCAGGAACAAGAATGGTGATTAATGAAAGCAATTAGTGACCCACCAATAGAGGAACTCTTCCTGATGGCAGGGCAGCCCTTCCTGGGCTGGACTTTAGAACAAGACCAGAGGTGAGTCCTGCTGGGACGTGTCAGGAAAGTGTCTGGCGAGGGGTGCACAGCACAGTACTGTGTGTTTATTTACATTCATGTTGAGTCAGCTGATTTACTTTATTACATGTGAGTCATTATCCAAACTGCATTCACATCAAAGAGAACAGAATCTAGTTTCAAAAGATCTGAATGTGAGACTTTTATTTTAAAAAATTGTTTTTTAATATATGCTTTTATTGATTTGAGAGGGGGGGGGGAATGGAGAGGGAGAGAGAGAGAAACATCGATAGGCTGCCTCCTGCACACCCACTACTCGAGATCAAACCCACAACCTGGGCATGTGCCCTGACTGAGAACCAAACCAGCAATCTCTTGGTGCATGGGGCAATGCTTGACCCAATTGAGCCATATTGGCCAGGGCAAACTTTTCTTTTTTGATGCCTGAAAAACGAAAGAAAAGACACTACTACCTTTCTTTTCCCTGCTCTACCCAACTCAGCTTTGTTATGAATGATTGCTTTGGTCAGACACCGTGATTGAGGCATTTTTGACATTATCTTTCATTCTTAAAGCAATACTTCACATGAGATAAAGCATATGAGCATGACTTACAACCCAGAACAAACAGACATCAAAAATAAGAAAAAAGAAAAATAATTTATAGTGGTATCTATTTTGTATATTGGGTACCTGCCAATGACATTTTTGTCTGAAACCATATGATGGAAGGTAAAAACTGAAAAGCAGATATGTTTTTAGAACACAGAGTCACCTCTGCCCCTTCTCTTTTAGTGGGTCTGACTTTCTTCTCACATCTCTAATCAAGGCGATCTGGGCTTCCCAGGCCTCTCAGATCAAGGACACAAATTTTCTCTATCTCCCCTGGGACAGATAGTCTGCTCAGCAACCTGGAGGCCAATAAAGGCCCCATCCAGGTGGAAACTCCACTCAGTTATTGCTCTAAAGCAGAGGTGAGGAACATCCAGCCCGTCTGGCCCTTCCAAGGCACTAGGGGTGAGATAATTAAATGTTTGACCAAACATAGCAGGCTAATTTTTAAGTTGATAATTGTGTATGGCCTGTGAATAAAGTTATAAATATCCAAATGGCCCTTGGCAGAAAAAAGGGTCCCCACCACCGCCACCCCTGTTCTAAACGAAGCCACAATCCTGATCTTTAACACCATAGGTTCCCCTAAACATCAACCTTGAACTTTAGTGAAATTATACAAAATATATTCTTCTGGATCTGCACTGTTTTCCTTAATATTATGTTTTTGAGAAGCATCATGCCATCATGTATGTCTTACAACTGATTCACTTTCAATGCTGCATAGTATAGTATTCCATTCTCTGAATACATAACAAGTTGTCCATTTCACTGCTGATGGACATTTAGGTTGTTTCCAATTGAGGGCTATTACACACAAGATCGCTGTGAATCTTTTCCCATGCCTTTGCTGCACATGTGTATGTTTTTGCTATGTGACAGATAGTTAAGAATAGAATTGCTAGATCATAGACTCTGCATATACAGTATTCAATTTTAGTAAACAATGCCAATTAGTTTCGTGTTGTATCAATATGTATACTCCACCAAATTTATAGTTTTCTCAGCAGTATCTCTTAATGCATTTGTTTTTCTGTTTATATTAGCCAAAGCTGGTTTCTGCTCCTTGCAAATAGGAACTTCACAAGACATGTGGAAAACCTGGAGAGGAGTATTATAGGTTGCGAATAGCCGAGAAAGGCACTGAGGTCATTATATAACTATTATGTATTGACTATTTATTAGTATCTCAGTGAGAAGACAGATAGATATTCTCAGTTAATCATTCTGATTGACAGTCATAGTCTAGACACTGTTAGACAAAACCCTATGAAGTACGTATGACTAACATTTATGTAGCTGGAAAACAGACATGTAATAAATTGATATACATTGATCAAGATAATCTATTATATAATGGCAGAACAGAATTTGAACCCAAGGTCTTCTGGCTCCAACAACTATGCTTTTCACCAAAATATCACACTGATATTGCCTCTTTTTAAAGCCAAGAAAAGGGTTCATTACTATTTTGTGAAGGGCTTTTAGAGAAGATTCTGTTAACTCTAAATGACGTCAGACAGTATGAGCCAGCTTCCAAGGTTCTCTCTTTTCCCCAGTGTCTGTGTAGTGCATCCTCGGCAAGATGGTGGGTGTGTCATGGAAATAAACATTCTGAAGAATGGAGAGGAGGACAAATTGCTCGACAACATTCTTCAGTTACTGGCAGCTGTTGGTGCTGCATTCCAACTCTGCTAAAAAAGTGGGGGGGGGAGTCTTAGATAATAATGATAACTCATATTCATAAAATGTTTTGCATTCCTAAACCATTATCAACACTAATAAAAGAGAAACATGCAAATTAACCATCACTCTGCTACACCTACCAGCCAATCAGAGTGAGTATACAAATTAAACCAACCAAGATGGTGGCAGCCACAGAGCTAGTGAGCAGAAGGCTTGGTTGCCCCAGCAATGGAGGAAGCCAAGCTTTCTGCTCACCTGGCCTCCGCTCAAGACTACAAAGTTTCAGTTATAAAAGATAAATAAATCCCAGCCTGCAAACCACCACAGGCCCCTCACCCAGGCTGCCCCACACCCTAAGGGAACCCCACCCTGATCCAAGACACCTTCAGGGCAAACCAGGTGGCCCCCACCAGTGCACCAGACCTCTATCCTATCTAATAAAAGAATAATATGCAAATTGACCATCACTCCAACACACAAGATGGCTGCCCCCATGTGGTCAAAGATGGTTTCCCCCATGTGGACACAAGATGGATGTCACAAGATGGCCAGCAGGGGAGGACAGTTGGGAGGGACTAGGCCTGCAAGAGATAGTAGTTTGGGTGATCAGGCCAGCAGGGAAGAGCAGTTGGGAGGGAACAGGCCTGCAAGAGAGGGCAGTTGGGGGTGATCAAGCCTCCAGGGGATGGAAGTTAGGGTTGACCAGGCCAGCAGAGGAGGGAAGTTGGGAACCATCAGTTTGACAGGGGGGCAGTTAGGCATCAATCAGGCCTGCAGGGAAGGGCAGTTAGGAGCAATCAGGCTGGCAGGAGAGCAATTAGGCATCAATCAGGTTGGCAGGAGAGTGGGTAGGGAGTGATCAGGCTGGCAGGCAGAAGCAGTTAGGGGCAATCAGGAAGGCAGGCAAGCAAGCAGTTTGGAGCCAGCAATCCTGGATTGTGAGAGGACAGTTGGACATCCCTCAAGGAGTCCCAGATTGGACTCCAAACTGGGTGCAGGCTGGTCTGAGGGACACACAACCCCCCCTCCCCACATCCTCCCCCTGCCATGTACAAATTTCATGCACTGGGTTCTAGTAGGTCATAATGCTGCTAGGTCATACAGAGTGAAATGTTTTTCACTATCAATGTTTAAGTCTTTCTTTAAAAGATGCCATTCTATTTTTTCAGGGTGAATTCAGAGTAGAGAAGGATTTTATTTCCTGTTATGTTTCATTTTATTTCATTCTTACAGATAAATATGGAATTTGAACCAGTTTATCAAAATACTAAATTGATTTAGCCTATAAGAATGTTACCTATTATAAAATTGATGTGTTTTGGTTGGTTGACTTGTGGTTGACCTTGTTGCTGTTCATTTGTTGGTGGTAGGTTTTTTTTTGTTTTGTTTTTTTGTTTGTTTTCTAATATATATTTTATTGATTTTGTACAGAGAGGAAGGGAGAGAGATAGAGAGTTAGAAACATCGATGAGAGAGAGTCATCGATCGGCTGCCTTTTGCACATCCCCTACTGGGGATATGCCCGCAACCAAGGTACATGCCCTTGACTGGAATTGGACCCGGGCCCCTTCAGTCGCCAAGCCGACGCTCTATTCATTGAGCCAAACCGGTTTCAGCAATGTTGGTGGTAGTTTTTTGATGTTTGACTGGCATAAAGTGTTACTCATCCAGGGCCCTTGATAAATGCTTAGAGGACACTTTATTCAAATGAAGAGTATTCCTTTTTTGGTTGGAATTTCTCTCATTTCTGAATAGAGTAATAAAATCTCCTAAAGTCATGTTACATCAAAAAAACAGTATTGGGATCCACCAAGAGACTGGTAACCCCTAAGAAAATACTTTCCTCGGCCAAATAGAGAAGGTGAAAGTAGGACAATAAGAGAGTTTAAGTATTTTCTCGTAGCTCCTTATCTAATTGCATTGTTTCCTAAACCATTTCTGTTTTGAACACTCCTTTCTAAAAATTGCTATTGAAAAAGTTATAGTATCATCTGCTGCCTGCTGCTTATAACTGACAAGTGATTGCTATATGAAAATAGTCTAATTAATCATCCTTGAAGGGAAGTGAAAGCTGTGACTTCCATCCAAATGCAAAGATCATTTTAGTGTCAGTACTTTCCTATTTTTGCAGTTTGGGCTGATGGGAACACATGCATACCAGCTGTTACTCTCACTGGGGCCACTTTAGCTTTCAGAATGTGGGCAGCTGACTCCATCCATGACACCAGGTGAACCTGAATGCCTCTATCATCCTCAGTCATATTTACCGGCAGGAAAATGCCTTCCCATCATCAGGGAAAGGCAGCCTCTTCTGCAGAAGGGCAGACATGCAGCAGATGCGAAGTCCATCTGGGCAACACCAGGGAAGTGCAAACCCCAGGAATGGTGTTCAATTAATGCTCTTTTTCCAGACCTCAGTATTCTGAACAGACAGTTCATTCCTTCTGAGTGTCTCCAAATGTACTGGATAAAGATAAACTGAAGCTAAAATTAAGCTCTTGATGGAGAACAATTCACTTAGGCTGTGAATTTAAGAATTAAAAAAAAAAATCTAAGAAACTCAGAGATAAGCCACCACTGCTCCTTGGGACCCTAGTATAGAGGTGCTTCAGTTGTCAATCTGGTGTTTAGTTTCTTTGACTCACCCTCCCTCTAATTCATTATTCCTCAACTGATGATTTTAATGGATTTTCTTTAGAGACTTGGAGAATGTTAAAAACACAAATAGAATGTCTCACAGGGGAAAAAAAAATCACAAGCGGCTTCCTTTGAAGCAGATCTGAGTTGAACTGCCTCGTGCTGAGGCCTAAGAGGACTTTCTGTGACTTGCACACTAGCTCCTGAGTATGACTAGACAATTAAAACTGTGGTGGAAATCCACAAGGAGAAGTTATTTAAAAGCAGATTCGTTATCCTTGAACAGATATGAATAAATGATAAGGCTAACATAAAGCATGGGATTATCATCCTTATGGTTGTATAGCATTTATCTTGGTATTCTGGAGACAATGCACAGAACAAAATTACTAGAAAAATATGTAATAATAATTTAATTATTGAACAGAATTCATTTATAAGAAACTTCTTATTAATTTCCAGGGCTGGGCTGTTATGAATAAAGCTGCTATGAACAAAAAAATACAAATAAAACATGACAACACAGCCATTATATTCTCAGCATTCTATTTAACTTCAGTATTTATCCTTTAATATTAGTGGATGTATATAAATAATATATAAAAGAAAAATGAAAGTTTATCCACCTTAATTTATCATTATATTTGATCTATATCTAGGCACTACTTGATCTGGCATGATAAAATATAAGAACTTTTAGTACCTGACCACCATACACATGAGACTATATCTGAAAAAATTATGACAGAATTAATAAAACAAAGTCATTTATTTTTTCAGTTTCTACCCAGGAGACTTCTGTTGCTCTTTGGCTGAATTTGAACTATGGTCTTTATGGAATGTATTTGTTTTTGCTGAAATCTGGAAGCTATGTAAGGTCAGTGTGAGTTGTTAACATTAACTAAGCATTCAGCATAATATTAAACCTTGTAATGGGTTGAGAGGACTCATTTGCTTGATTTCTCTTTAAAAGTATCATTCACATATTAAAATGTTGCTCTGAATTATATTAATTTAATGAAAATCTTGTGTCAGAGGCAGATGTTGACTTGCCTTTTATATTCTATAATGTAGTCCAATGCATATGTCCCTGATTTGGAGGGTTTGAGAATTCTCATATATTCTGGGGATGACTTTACTTTGAAAAAAGGCTAGCTAGACTAAAAGCAGCTGTAAACTGTGGCCATGCTCATTTGCTTCAGTCTCTTCAAGAGGAGTGTGTGTGTGTGTAAATAAAAATAAAAGTGACTAGAAAGAAACTAGACAATAATCAAGACTGTACTATTGGCAAAAGAATATTTAAAAAAAATCAGAGCAGAGAGCCCAGAAATATAGACTCATACAAATATACTCAACTGATCTTTGACAAAAGAGTAAAAGGCAATTCAATGAAGCAAAGATAATATGTTCAATAAATGGTGCTGGAACAACTGGACAACTATATGCAAAATAATGAATCAGACACAAACCTTATTTCACAGTAATTAACTCAAAATGTATAACACTCATAAATGTAAAATAAAACCATAAAATTTCTAGAAGATAAAATAGGAGAAAGTGTAGATGACCTTGAGTATGGAATTGATTTTTAAGATATTACACTAAAGGCACAATGCATGAAAGAAATCATTGATAAGCTGGATTTCATTAAAATTAACATCTGCTGTGAAAGACAATATCCAGAGAATGAGAAAACAAGTCTATCTCATAAAGCATTATTAACCAGAATATACAAAAATTCTTAAAAGTCAACAATAAGAAAACAGCTAGTTTTAAAAATAGGCCAACAAAGATGTGCAGATGACAAATAACCTCATGAACAGGTGCTCCCATATGTCATCAGGAAAGTGCAATGAAAACAACAATGAGATGCCCAGAAGCTGGAACACTGACAGCACCAAATGTTGACAGGGATGTAGAGCAACAGAAACTCTCACTCGTTCTGGTGGGAATGGAAAATGGTATAGCTTCTTTGGAAGACAGTTTGGCAATTTCTTGCAAAACAAAATATATTCTTACTATATGATCCAGCAATCATGCTCCTCAGTATTTTACCCAAGGGAGCTGAAAACTTTTGTCCACACAAAAACCTACCCACAGATCACTATAATTGGTTTATTCATAATTGCCAAAACTTAGAAACCACAAAAATATTCTTCAGTAGGCGAATGGATAAATAAACAGTGTGGTGCATCCAAACAATGAAATATCATTCAGCACTCAAAATAAATGACCTATAAAGCCATGGAGGAATCTTAAATGTGTCTTGCTAAGTGAAAGAAGCCAATCTGAAAAGACTATGTACTGTATTATTCCAACTATGTGACATTTTGAAAAAGATGAACTACAGAGACAATAAAAAGTACGGTGGTGCCAACGTGATAAATAGACTAAGGAAGAGGATTTTCAGAGCACTAAAACTACTCTGTATGATACTATGTGATAATGGACATGTTACCATGTTGTATTTACTTATCCATACCCATACAAGGTACAACATCAAGAGTGATTCCTAAGGTAAACTATGTACATTGGGATATTAGGATGTGTCAGTGTAGGTTCATCAGTTGTCACAAATGCATCACTCTGGTGGTAGATGTTGATAATGGGGGAGGCTATGATTATGTGAGAGCAGAGGGTAAATCTCTAACTTACTTGCAATTCTGTTATGAACCTAAAACTGCTCTAACAAATACAATAAATAAAATGACTGGAGGGCTTTTAGTTTTTAACATTGAAATGTTTAGCGGTGATATCTCTAAATAGTACTCCATGGGGTTAGAAATTCTGTTTTATCACTGTTTTATTCCTAGCACCTACCATTCTGCCTTGCACAAAACAGGTGACAATAGATATATTTCTTGAGTCCTTGCTGCTAAGTTAAATTCTGTGTACACTGCTGCATTTTCTAAATTTTTTTTACAATTTATAAAAATAACGTTATTTTTATAATGCTTAATATTCTACTTTTTTTACTTCCATGAGCCAATTTATCAACTAGCCTACCCAGAAATTAAAACTAAAAGAATTTAAGAGGAATAGGACATTTATCCTTGTCTGCTCATACAGCCACTTTCTGCAAACATTTCCCATGAGGAGTAGGATGAATTCATGAAAACTAGGTTTGTTGACACTATGCACAACTCCTCCTGCCAAGCTGAGTGTTCAAGGTCAGAGATTGAGCTGGTATGATTCATAATAAGATAAAATGCCAGAATTTGTTGTCTTTAGAAGATGGTAAGAACTTGCTATTCCTGCTTAGTGTGGCCTTGAAGGTCAGGTTGAAATGGACAACTCTGCAGAAAAATGATTTCTGCTGGAGCATTTTCACACTAATAGGAGGCAAAAATAAGTTCCTTCTCAATGAGGGGAAAGGAAATGAGTACAGATAGAATGCTGGTTCAGATACAAGCTCCCATGACAAGCCACGGAGTTTGGATTGAATCACTTGAGTGGGTCAGTGACCATTTCTTGACACCCTTGTGTGATGTTTTCCCCTTTAAGTTACTGAAAAGAATTCTTTTGATTTTTGTTCATGCATATATAATAAAACTCATATAATTATCATTATTTAGTTCTATCTTTGTTTTTCAAACCTTTTTAAACAAAACAACTTAGTCCTAAAAGCTCATTCTGTGTCCTCCAAGGGCTTTTCATGCCAAATATTAGTGACAGTTCCATAGCATGGGTCACAGGCTATGATGCAGATGTCTGTGTTTACTACAAGTGATTCTTCTCTCTTTCCTGAATACACAGGAAACCTTCTTAGCTTCCATTTGGGTCATGATGGAGAAAGGTTAGTCAAATTGGAAAAATGAGCAAGCACAAACAGAATTATGAATTATCCTTATTCTCTCTTTTGCAGCAGCAAACTCTGAAGTTCAATGTTGAGGTAATGGTGTCAACAAATGGTGGAGACTTTGTCAGCCCAGGTTTCTGCAGAACCTCCTGATACCCAGCACTGCATACTGCAAATGTTGGATTAAGCCACTGAGATGCAGGAGCTAATTTGTTACTGCTGCATAATGTAGCCTACACTGACTAATACACTCACAAACATGCTGAAGATATATTTATGCCCAATAAGATAAGAAAATCCTCAAATGCAGAACTTTATACATGCTTCATCAATGTTTCCAGGGTACACTCCCATAGTTTTTGACCTATGAATATCATCTCTTTTTTCTTGTGCAAGTAATACAAATAATGAAATTCGTTAATTTATTCAACATGTTATTTTTAGCAAGGCATTTTTTTTTAAAGATATTGCAAATATAACACTGAATAAAACAGAGAATATTCCTGTTCTCATAGAACTTAGATTCCATTTCCAGGAAGTGAAATGGGTATTATTTCAGAAAGTTAAAAGTGCTGTGCACAAAAAAAAATCAGGGAAGAGAGATAGGGAGTGTCAGGATGGGAAAGGGTAGCTATATTTTCAGTATTTATGACAATGCTTCACACCTAGTAAGTCTTCAATAAATGAGGGCACGAGCATTAAAGCATACTGACTATAATTATATAAACTCAGCTTCCCTTTGGTTCTTGTCTTGGATTAGTCTAATACATCTCTCTATATGCATATGACCTTGAGGACTTGCCCAATTTCCTCCATTGCTCAATAAAGTAGGCATGACAGGTGTTAATCTTAAAAAAAAAAAAAAAAAAAAAAAAAAAAAATAGCCCATCCTCCATTAGAGATGCTCCTTAGACTCTTTCTCTGATTGCTCACTGCCTTTTCCTATTCCAAGCTGATATTTGCTGCATGTTGGTTTCATTTTCCCTAACAAGCCTACTCTTGATTCTAAATACTTAGAGATAATATTTAAACTCCCCAGTTAACTCTCAATTCCCCCTCAAGGTCTTGACTCATTCTCAGAAAAGGAGATGTCAATTGTTGATAACTGTGCATCTTTTGTGGGAAAATTTGAGGGAAAATTTTCTACCCTTAGCACCTGGTAGCTAAGTAACTGCATTTTATATCACATAATCCCTTTTATTTCCCTTCTCCTACCCCCATCCAGGCTATATGAAATTTAGCTAATGGCGAGCATCTAGGCTAAGCTAACCCTTTGGCTTGATGTTATGTTTTCAAAAAATGAACTGGGATTAACTAAGTTCTCTGTCTCCTAAATTTTATTTAAGACACACAGATAGAGAATGGAAAGTGCTGGCATTAATAGTTATACTGGGACAATAGGCATAAACCCTAAACCTTCCAAGAAAACTAGAATATACATTCACCTTCACAAGGGATTAAGAAAGGGAGCCAAGACTTTTTTTTTTTTTTTTGAGACAATTTCACAGAACACCAAAGGTATTTACTCAGCCTTTCATGCTTGGTTTCTGTAACAATGCTGAAATAATTTCCATTCATGTCACTTGCCCCATTCTGCACATGGGTCACCTGTCTTACCAGTTTGCCATGTTTACACGGAGACATTTTTCCAGCCCCACCTTCCTGGGGTGGCTCCCCATGTCTCAGCTGCACCCTAGGACACTTCTGCCCAGCACTTGGCTCCTTTGGGCCCTCTGTCTCTGCAGCTATGTTTCCCACACTCCTGCTGCTGGCCTCCCTCCAGCCTCTGCAGTGTGATGGCAGAGGCAGGCCCAGGCCCAGCTGCAGGAAAAGGTAAGGGCCCCCTCGAGCTGGTTGGTGGGTAAAGAGCAGGGGCGCAGGCTTTCCTGCTGACATGAATTCCTCCCGGTTACTCTGAATACGATTTAGGGCCTAATGAGGGAGCCCTGTCGTGTTCACCACACGCAGGCTTCCTCAGCGCAAAATTTCACTCGGCAGATGAACACAGACAGATGCACATTTCCTTCACCGATGAAATATTAAACATGACAGGTGTGTTTCCCATCAGGAAAGCTGCATACATAAAGCGTGTGTAACCCATGAGGTCCTCCCCAGGCCACATGGCTGGGTTCTGGGC